TGCTTTTGGCGCTCCATCGGGGAAGGCACAATAACCCCTCACAATCATAATCAATCATAATGATTGGAGTAGGAGACAATCACCTTCCTCCACTCGATGATCCACCAATCATCGGGCCATCTAGGTGTCGGCAAACACCAAGAGTAACAAGTTCTTTACCAGCCCAAATCGCTCTAGTGCCACAAGATGCTAGACCACTAAGCAATGCACTAGAGGCTCTCCAATCTCACTCAAGATGATAAAATCAAGTGTGCAAATGAGTGGAGTGGTGTGCTCAGCTCCCAAAGGGTGTACATAGGTGTGGGAAGATCCAAGAGAGTGGCCAAGGTCGGCTACCACCTCTATTTATAAGCCCACAAGCAAATAGAGTCGCTGCCCCTTGAGCCACTTTCTGCGAGGCCACCGGACACGGCAGTGGTGGCATCGCCCTAGGGGTGGCGATGCCCCTCCAACGGTCACCAATGGCTAGTTTGACTAGCCGTTGGGACACCGGACACAGTGACGGTGGCACCGCCCTAGGGAGGGTGGTGACCAAGCCACCCGAGACCCCCCTCTGGATAAAAATGGCGGTGGCACCGGACACAGGGTGGCGATGTCATGTCTAGTGACCACCCCGAACCCCTTGCTCTCTGGATAAAAGCGGCGGTGGCACTGCTGCGCCAGGGGCGGTGACCAAGCGGTGCACCGCCCTCGCCGAGGCGGTGTACACCGGACACGACGGTGACACCCCTTCTACTGCTGCTCGGAACTAAATCTAGGTGCGATGCCACCGGACAAGGTGGCGGTGCCAACCTAGCACCTCCCTCTCGCCCTGGTCCATCCGGCCACTGCCCTAGGGGTGGCGGTGCCCCCAGGGGCAACACCTCATCCCCTTCTTCGCCTCCTTTGCTTCCTTTGCAAATGTGTCAACACCACAAGTGTTTCACCATCACGTATAAGTGTGTTAGCATTTTCATAATCATTTTCCAAAGGTTAATCACTTCTCACCGATTGTGCAGTAGGCCTAAAATGCATATGAAAGTTTTTCAACACCTAGTGACACTAGATGATCGAGTTATCCGATAACAGCTCCCCTCTTAATAGTATGATCATCTATTCTAAATGTGATCACTCTCTATAGTGTCTTAGATCATTAAAATAAAATGACCATATAGATATCACCTTTGCCTTGAGCCCATTTTATTTTTCTCTTTTTTTTTCTAAGTCCGAAGCACTTAATCATCACAATGGCCTCCACCATCATCTTGATCATCATCCTTTGCTCCACCACTTAAAATATACTACCCTATCTTATATTCACTTAGAGCAAATGAGTTAACACCCAAGGTTTCATCAATTTACCAAAATCAAACTAAAGCTTTCACCAACGAAGCTGCGTCTGGCGTGTGCTGCTTGGCAGCTGTTGGAGGAGAAGGACTTGGTTGGCGTCGGAACTGGCGTTGAGCTGCGGCTCGAGAATTGCCGGCGACTACCAATTCCGCCGTAGTTTGTATCCACGTACATATTTTCAGTTCTAAAGTGATCTCGTAGCACTAGTATCGTTACAGAATCAGAGGAGGATGGACCTGCCTCGTATACTGTATACATGCGTAAACTAAAGTCAACCATGATGGGAAATTGATCTACTCAATACTGTGAGCGCACCCACACTGATGTATAGCTTCGCCACTATGGTTGGCCAAGGAACTTCGTTATCTTTAACCGGGGGTATATTTGCTATCCTCTCCATTTATCAATTTTACAAGTATCTCTACATGCTATGAACACACAGAAATTAAATAAAAAATCAGTTCTTGTTTGAAATAAATATCATGCATACCAAATGAAAGGTCCATGGCAATGTCTAGAAATCACCGTGCCTTGAATTAATCCGTGATTATAGGTATATTAACCTCTGGCAGGTAAAGCCACATTTTAGTGTAAGTTTAAAATCAAAATGGAAAAAATCTAAATGACCCCCTCACGTATCATTGGGTGTCTACTTAACCCCCTGTCTACAAAACCATGTATTTAGCACCTTAAAGTTTGCCAAGCCGTTTAGAAAACCGCCTGGCTGGTATTGCAGGGCGGTTTTGCCTATCTGGACAGCCACCATGGCAGGCTAGCACACGCCGGCACCCGAGCCCGCCATCAGGTCATTCGAGCAAGCTGGTTGTCCCACCTCATGACCTGAGCTAGGAGGCAACCTTGCCCGCCTGGGCCGTAGGGGTAGGCATTTGGGAATAGCCGCGGCGCAAGATTCCACCCGCCACGCGCGCCCGATCGAACTCTCAAGACGCTTGCCAGCGTCGGCGCTTAAGCGCTCGCTCGCCCCGCAGCGCCCTTGACCAGGCTTTGTCGTCACAGGTGCATGACATCGTCAGAGGTCCGCAACGCGGTGATCGCGACAAAGAAGGCCGACGCCCTTGTAGAGGGCTCGAGACACGCCGCATCCAGGATTGCCTTCCGGGGAACGCTTTCTACAACAAGCCGCCCGCGCCCACAGCGAGCACCTAGGCCCCCGTCACCAGCAGCAGCACCGGCCAGCGCCGTCCCATTTCGCCGACCCGTGTAGAAGGCGAGACCGGCTACGTACAGAGGCCATGTTTAGATTACAAAAAATTTCAACCCGATGAATAGTAGCACTTTCGTCTTATTTGGTAAATATTGTCCAATCGTGGACCAACTAAGCTCAAAAGATTTATCTCGTGATTTTCAACTAAACTGTGTAATTAGTTTTTTTTTACCTACATTTAATGCTTCATGCAAACGGCTAAAAATTAATGTAATAGAAAAAGAGTGAAAAAACTTAGAATTTTGAGGGTATCTAAACAAGGTCAGAGTACTAGTATCTCTCTGCCATCCTGTGCCATCTCATCTCGTTCAGCTTTTGCAGGTTGCAGCCCTGCGTGCCTCACAGATAGCAACTCATGCAGGCATGAGCATGATTTTGCTGGCCGGACCTGGACGCCGTTTAGGTAGCTAGCCTGGTCCGTGTACCAGCTTGGACACCTACACATGCATTATCCTCCTGCCTTGTCTAGATTGTCTCAAAATTCCAAGTTTTTTCATCCATCACATCAATTTTTGGACGCATGCATGGAGCATTAAATGTAGGTAAAAAAAATAACTAATTACACAGTTTGATTGAAAATCACGAGACAAATCTTTTGAGTCTAGTTAGTCCATGATCGGACAAAGTTTGTCAAATACAAATGAAACGTGCTACAATATCTAGATTGCAAAAATTTACGATCTAAACAAGACCTCCGATCGATATGAACACATATCATTCAAGGCAACCGGCATCGAGAATTGAATTAAGCAATGCATACATAACTCACACAGGCACAGCACCGTCCGGCGACAAACAAAACAAAGGACATCGGAGCTGGTGGCAGTGGCTGTGGAGGTGGCGGCGGCGGCAGCTGTGGTTGTTGACGAATGCAGGGTCGCAGGGTGCTCGTCCGCAGCCACCCGTTCAGTCGTTCTCCAGCCGTTCTCCGCTTGCAACCATGAGCATTCGAATCAAACACGTGTCAGACTGCCTTTGGGTGAGCTGACAGGTAGGCGAAGCAACTATCGATGGCCGGCGGGTGGGAGGGCGGCTTACATGGCAGTGCCATTCTCTGCACTGGTGCATCTTGACCGCGAGCATGGGCCACTGAGCGGTTGTCGGCAGGCTCTGAGCGTGTTCCCCATCGGCCGGGATCGCCTCCTCCCCTCGCTCCTTCGCTCCTCCCCGCAAGCTCCTGTGCCCGTCGTCTCCGGTGTTGATGGTGCTGCCTATTACGCCGCTCTGGTGATCTCTGCATAGAGTTACGCCCGCCGTGTGCTGCCAACACACAGGAAATTACAATAAAAATCAATGGTGTCGCCTATGGCTTGGAATCTTGTCCCGTGCATTCAACGGCGTGGAGTAATCACAAGGCTGACTGCCCGTGTGGATGGTCGCGGCGGCTTCTTGAACCTAGGTGCGCTAGCTCATGGGTCAAGAAAGGTCATGGCAAGCGCCATGGTGGCTATGTGTGCGGATAGATAACCACACGCCAAGAAAATAGGGTCCAATACCACCTCATGGAGTTATATAGACGGTTTGAAGATGTTTAAGGTGTAGAATAACTGGTTTTATACTTCAGGGGGTGAAGTAGACACCGCTCCAAACGTCAAGGGGTTATATAGACTTTTTCCAAATCAAAATTGAAGAATCATCAATTCATTATATATTTCAAGCATTCAAGACCACTTTATATATAATATAAGAGCAAGTTAGCCTACTAGTTTTTTTTTTTTTGCAAAACACATAGAAAAAGCAAGACACACTAACTATTTGTAAGCAGCATATTTTATAGCATAAAAATATAGGATAAAATGATGGAAATAAGATATCTGGATCTAACATATGCAATAAAAATCACATTAAAAGAAGATTTAAATGCATAAGAGGACTCTAAAACTGTCAAGAGGTAACACTTAGGTCCATAAACTTTGATAAATATATTTCTATGTTATTAAACTTGCTAATGGTGCTCCGAAGATTCACACTAGCCCCTTTCCTTAAACTAAACCACCTCACCGTATGCAACTATTGTAGCCATTATGCAAATGAATTGGGAGTGCTACTTCTATTAACTTGTTTTTTTTAATCTTTCAGCCAAATATTTTAGGTTTTCAAATTGAAATCTACTGTGTAGGTTAGTTGGTGATCTTTTTTTTTTTTGCTTTATCTTTTTTCAGAGCTGCAAAGTTTTTATCTTCTTCATTTCTGGTCGTCTTTAAACATTTCGAAGGCCCATGGACCACGGTGCTAACAGCCTGGCCCAAAATCACTTACCGCCTTCTCCGCACGGACTCGAGGTGGAAACTGGGCCAGTAAGCAAGGGACTCAGGCCCGACACGAGAACCTCAACCAAAACCTCACCTCGCCACCGCCGCGACGCTCCGCGCCCCGTCCAGCTCCGCCGCCATCCAGTGCCCCCGCCGCTCCTTGCAGCGGCGACGGAGGGGCCAGCCAGCCAGCCATGACGACCCGCATAGCGCCGGGCGTGGGTGCGAACCTGCTCGGGCAGCACTCGGCGGAGCGCAACCAGGACGCCACCACCTACGTCGGCAACCTCGACCCTCAGGTTAGGGTTCCCCACAACCTCTCGCTATTGCGACGCTTAGTAGATCCCCGCCCACGATAAAATATCCCTAAAGCACAGAATTACTTGTGTGAACTGGTGACCGGATGAGTAAGTCGCTGCTCCTTAATCGAAGGTACAGTGGCGGTGGCGCAACCATTTTGCAAGGACAGCGTGAGTGACGGCAGACGCTAGATGTTAACAAGTAATGAGACTGCGATTGAACGGTCGCTGGGAAAATTGTGCGTGTTTTGCTAGGTGGTAATGTTACAATCGTTGTTGTTAAAGTACATTGCATCTAGACTATATGTGAAGTGTACTGCTTATTTGTTAGGTTGGGATGAACATTGCTGTTTACTCTTTAAGATTCATATCAATTTCTCTGTACGCTCTATACAAATAGAACCATAGATCCGGAATACACATAGTAATTACATTGACAGTTACCTGATGGAGCACACCTTTGCTCCTTCTCCTGTATAGGAAACAATGAACATCCTGTAGTATATGGTCATATATTGTTTCTCCGGTTTCTGTAAATCCATGAACTGATGCTGATAGTTCTTCCATATCTGATAGGTTTCTGAGGAGCTTCTATGGGAATTGTTTGTCCAAGCAGGCCCTGTTGGTAAGTGGACTTTTTATGTATATATTTTTCTGTAGTGAGATGAGAGTTTTTCTGTATGTAACACTTTTGTCTTGCCCTATAATAGCATTTGTGTGTTTTGTTGCATAATTGCCTTTCAGCATTTCTTATTCTTGGTTTCTTTTGGTTCTTGACGGTCTATATTATTATGTAATTGAAGTTTTTTATTTTGGATATCAAACAAATACATTTGTTTTTGGTTTTATTAACAGAATTAACATTCTTCCATTTGTAGTTAATGTGTATGTCCCAAAAGACAGAGTTACGAATTTACACCAGGGATATGGATTTGTAGAATTCAGGAGTGAGGAAGATGCAGATTATGTAAGTCTATTATTTTGCGAAGTCATAGTTGACCTCTTATATTTCCTCGAGCAGATCGCCACATCCATATTTAGTTACCCTTTTATCTAATAGTTTGCTTTCCACAGGCCATTAAGATTTTGAACATGATCAAACTATATGGTAAGCCCATAAGAGTAAACAAGGTATTTTCCCTTCATCTGTAGTACTTTATCATTATGGCTTTGAAAAAACAAGTATCATTTGAACATAAAATGATTGTGTTTTCTTATTCCAGGCTTCCCAGGATAAGAAGAGCTTGGACGTTGGAGCAAATCTGTTTATTGGCAATCTTGATCCGGTGAAGGCCTAAATCCTACTTTCTTTATTATCCGCTCTTCAATTCATCTGAATACTGAGTAATATTTTCATGTTTGCTTTGTTAACAGGATGTTGATGAGAAGCTGCTATATGATACCTTCAGTGCATTTGGAGTGATTGTAACTAATCCTAAGGTGACACACAGCAACTTTTATCTTCATGCAAAGTTATATTGATTTGTTGTTTTCTGCTAATGATCTAGCAGCCAAGCATAATATCTGATTTACGAGCAGCAGTCTTATATAAACGCCTGAAGCAAATACAAATGATAGTTTATGCATAGAATAAAATGAATTCACTATAGTCATTTCATAATTCAATTACTTTCAAGGTCTTGTGTCACTGGAACTTCTGTGTAACAGTGTTTAGTCAATTTGAAATTATTAAGCGCTCATCAGATGATAGCACTATCTGCTTTCATTTGTACAAATTACAATAATAGCTGAGAGATTATCCCGTTTGATATTGCTCATAGATCTTTTTGGGTATTCTGTGCATGTCCCTGAGATAAACTCATCTACCAGTCGTCTTGTAAGATGTCATGTGTCTATTATAAAATTGATGGTTTTAGGAGTAACACATCATCTGTATGCAGTGTCTGTTATTTTCTGATGAAACTAGTTGTCACCTGCAGTAATTTATTGATCTTCTTTTTCTTTTGTCAAAGATAATGCGAGATCCTGAAACTGGAAATTCTAGAGGCTTTGGTTTTGTGAGCTATGACTCCTTTGAATCATCTGATCAAGCAATAGAGGTAATGTATCCATCACACTGATTTCCTGTATTTCAATTTGCAGTGGTTCTGGCTGTCTGGCATTTGTTTCATGCTACTTTCTCTGCTATATTTTTCAGGCCATGAACAACCAACATTTATGCAACCGGCCAATCACTGTCTCTTATGCTTACAAGAAAGACACGAAAGGAGAGCGCCATGGCACACCAGCAGGTAATGTGTGGTCTAATTGATCCAGTTGATTCCCTGGCTACCAGCACATGGGTTACTCTTCAGTTAACTTCAATACTTATATTTCATCCTAGTCCAAACAGTCTCCAAGCAAATTGTATTATATGTATATCCAAGTCAAATTTCCATTCTTGGTCTTGAGATCTGCTTGGTTCAGCTTTAAAAAAAATTGAGCTGAAGCTCCGCCAAACAGGAGCTAGTTCATGAAGAAGTTATTTTAGCTCTTAAAAACCGGATACATATGAAATTCTTCAACTGAATTATCCTTTTACATTCTAGAGTTCCTTCATGAATATTTTTACACTCACAATGATCTAATATGTTGTTTACCATTGGCAGAGCGACTGCTGGCAGCAAACAATCCAGGATCTCAGAAGAATAGGCCACACACAATGTTTGCAAGTGGTCCGCCGACCCAAGGTCTTCCAAATGGTGGTCCCCCTGTGCCACGGCCTTATGGCAATGGCACAATTCCGGGACAGATTCAACACATTCGACAACCACCTCCACCTGTTGGACAATTCCCCCCTCCAATGCAGATGCACGGGCAACCTGCTTGGCCCGCTCCTCAACAATCTATGCCGCCCCCCATGACATCGCAACTCCAGTACAGGCTCCCAGTGAGGCCACCACCACCAAATATGATGCCCCCTCCGGTTGGCATGGTAAGGCCGCCACCTCCTCCCACTGGTATGTCAGCACCACCTATGTGGATGCCACACCCACCCCCGCCACAACAAGGTGGAATGCCTCCGCCTCCCATGTCTATGCCGCCACCGCCTCCACCACCATCTGGTTAAGCACATGCAAAGGAAAGTACCGTCTGGTCAATGTGCAAGCTGTAACTGTAGACTAAGGATGCTGGTTCCTTTCATATATCTTCCCTGTAACTTGTCAACACTGGGTGAAGATGAGATTTCAGAGTTTACCTGACAGATACAACCTCAAGATTAACAACTATTTATGTTATGTTGAAGATGAATGAATTGTGATTGTCTACTCACTTTTTGTGTTCTCTGATGCCATGATACGTTTAGAATGATCACTACGCATGTTCTGTTGCCACTGAATTATTGAAGGTGGGAATTTCAAACAAAGCTATTTGGGTCATAATTTTAGCCAACTTTTAGCTCTTAGATTAGATCGTGGTTGTGATGCACTTGATGGGAGGGTAGAAAGGTTGTTCCAGATGCTTCAGCGCTGCTAGATATGATCGGTATCACCAGTGGTGCAAGCGGCCATAGAAACTCTGTTTGAATTTATAGTCCTGATCTGATTTAGATGCTCTGTTGCTATTTTTATATTATTCATATGCCATGGCTTTTATATAGTCGACGAAGCAGTGAGTTTTGGAAATTTTGAACAAGTGTTGTAGTGTTAGTGTTATTATGTGGCTAACCATGATTTAATCATGGTGCTACTTCTCTGTCACCTTTTTGTTGGTTGAACTTGCTTTTCCATTTCATTTTTATTCTCAGAATTATAGGTTGTGTTTAGTTCGCGAAATGAAAATTTTCGGATGTCAGCGAATGTTTTGGGAATGTCGGAAGGGGTTTTCGGATATTATAAAAAAACTAATTACATAGCTCGCCTGGAAACTGCGAGACGAATTTATTAAGCCTAATTAATCTATCTTTAGCGCATGTTAGTACTGTAGCACTTATGGCTAATCATGGACTAATTAGTCTTAAAACATTCGTCTCGCGATTTTCCAACCAAACTGTGCAATTAGTTTTTTTTCGTCTATATTTAATATTCCAGATATGTACCTGTAAGATTTGATGTGATAGTTTAGGGTGAAAATTTTTGGGAACTAAACCCAGCCATAATGTCTTAGATATCACAGAGAGACCAGAGACCAGAGGTAGCGAAGTTAGAATGAATCGTCCATTTCTCCTTGTAAGAAGTACAGTGACTAGCCTGGCAATATCCTCCCACCCATGTGCAACTTTACACATGGTTTCTGTTGCCTGCCTACCTCCCTACTAGGCTGCTGCTACTACTACTACCACCCCACAGCTACAAGCTTTCCCTTCTCCCATTTTGCTACTACCTTTCCAATTGAGAATCATAGTGATGCTTCAGCGCTGCTAGATATATATATGTTACAACAAGCGCAAGCAGCATCCTAGCGCAATGAGGGTGATAACTGAAGAAATCAATGACAGCGCCGAGTGTGATCTACATCTCTGATCGCCGCCGCCGTTGGCGTAGACCATCCCGAGGTAGCCGTAGCCGTTGCCGCCACCGCCAGTCCCCACGCCGGCGTAGTTGACGCCCCTGTACCCGGTTTCTTCGGCGTCGTTCCTGCCAAAACATTATGAGTAACTCACTGCTCGTTACAAAAACAAAACACATGCATAAACAAATATACACCGCGAGAATAGCATCTACAAGTGCAAACTGAACGTGACAGTTCGTTTAAGTGCTGGTGAAGCTTAGATATCTACCACAGCTGTCACGAGCGCACAAGGAATAGGAATTCGATTCCGAGGAACGTGGTCTCTAGGACTGGGAGAGGGAGGGTGATGGAATAGAACGTCCGAAAAAGCCAAAAGCCACAAGCCACGACACTTTCTTTTTCGCTGGGCTGGACATGGGCTCTCGCCATTGGGAGACAGTGGGGGCAGGAGTGAACCATTCGGTCGTTCTGGTTGGACCGTTCCTAAAAGGCCACTTGTACTAGGATAACAATGATGCTAGCAGCAAGATTCACTATTTTAGCAAAGGACGCTATTGGGATCAAGAACGCTAAAAGTGTATAGCATCCCAGTACCAGTAGAAGGATAATTGCTATATTCTAGGCCATGTGCATGGACTCGTTGCTTGTTCAGATGACAGGTCTGAGTGGTCTGGAATCAAAGTGACCATCGGAGCCCGGAATCATCATAGCCAGTCATACCGCCGAGAGCATCCTCTCCCCAACCCCAGTATTTTTCTCTCCTACTAAATTAATCAACAGTCCTTCCAACCAAACAAACCCAGCCAACAGGGCGATTATTATTTCTGCTGCCTTTCGCAGAGCAAACTCCAAGAAACAGTCGACTGCTGACTACTGTCCTTGAGCGCTGCAGCCTGCCAGCCAGGTGCCAGGAGCGTTGGGCCTTCAGTTGCCTGCCGTGTCGTCAGCAGGAGAGCAGCTGAACAGAGGAGGACGGTGCCCAGGCCATTGATTTTTTTTTGGAAAGGTTGCTTCGAGGTTCGAGGCTGCTTTGTGTCGATCACAAAACTGTTGGTTACGGCGACGGCTTACACCTAATTAAGGCCAGGGGAAGAAGGTAAATATGAGGCTCACTAGATTGAAGAAGGTCGTTGACGAGTATACGGCCACCAGTATAATCCTCATGGACAACAGTAACTTGGCCACTTGGGTGCTCTGCAGCAGCCCTCGTTGCGGATCTACATCTGACAGTAACGTATCCGGACAAAACAGGACAAGGGTGAGTGGACAAGTTAACAAAAGGGCATTATTAATTTGTTTATGCAAAACAGCGCAGGATCCGGGGGACAAAACCAAAACCATCGACCGGTGGCGCGCATGTGGAGGCGCAGACTGACTACGACTGCCTACCGCGGCACTCGATGGTAACGTATCCGGACAAAACAGGACAAGGGTGAGTGGACAAGTTAACAAAAGGGCATTATTAATTTGTTTATGCAAAACAGCGCAGGATCCGGGGGACAAAACCAAAACCATCGACCGGTGGCGCGCATGTGGAGGCGCAGACTGACTACGACTGCCTACCGCGGCACTCGATGGTCCCATGCATACTACCCGGCCCCGACGGGGACTATTTCGTCTTCGCTTCCCGGCAAAATAGCAGCAGATGCTCTTGAGCGTGCAAGGATCTTTTTGTCTAGGTATATGTTTTTTTAGAAGGGGAAGGGGCCACAGGTGTGCAGAGAGAAAGGGGCAAAGAAAGGAAAACTAGAAGAAATGTGAAGGACACGAGGATCAGAGTTGGAATATCTGGCATGAGCCCGTGTTTAATTCCAGGAGGTTAATCTTGCGCTACTAAAGCACTTTTGTATTTATATTTATTTGATAATATGTAAAATTAATTTTATGATTTTTCTATGATTTTGAAAAATTCACCAAAAATAAATAAAAAAAAAGAAAATTCAAAATCGTAGCAATCCGCTGTCACTGTAGCAATTTCTCGCTGAATCACCGGGGTAAAATATAGTTTTTTTTTACAGGCAGTTTAACGCCCATACCAAGACGAAAGGTGGAGGAGTTAAGTAGACTTTTTTCATAGAAGAAATGTGAAGGACACGAGGATCAGAGTTGGAATATCTGGCATGAGTTATACAAAAGGCGCTGGGGTTTCTAACGTTGCACGGTGCATCCCTTGGAAGTTTAATGCTCTGCCAAGCCTGATATATCTTGACTCCGACAGTAGTAGCACGGCCAGGCAAACTACTCTACTACCGCCCATGGCTGATAAGTCATGATTAAAAATCATGACTAAAAGTACTGGCTGATTTATTAGTAGAAAAAAAAATATTGTTAGTATGACTTATAAGTTACGCAAACCGGGTGATGGACCCAGGTTTGTCGTCTGGTCTGGAGGAATGCGGTGGCCGGTAGGGACGTAGGGTGCCGATGGATGAGCGTCCTCTGCAGTGAACTGCACTGCTCGAGTGCTCGAACTGGTGTACTGGATCGGCAGGATTTTGATGGATCAGGGAAAGCCATAAACGAGGGGAAGGGTTTTGTTTCCAGCTTTCCACCACGCGCACGGCGCACGCGGGAGCCGGAACGGCGAATTCCGCCGGAGAGTTCTCTCGCCCAGAGGCCAGAGCAGACATAATACAACCGTGAAGCGCGCCGTGCAGTCTGTCGAGCGCCGCCGTGAACCGCGCGGAGCAGTCTGTCGAGCACTAGCATTAGCAGGGCCCCAGTCCGGGCGTCGGACCGATGGCCGTTGGAGGAAGTTAACAAAAGTCAAAAGCGCCGCGTATAAAAAGACGCGCGGGGGCGTCCTTAAGCGGGCCCACATACCAGTGGTGGCGGGTTCCACCCGTCCGAGAGATATTTCCGAATTCCAGCAAGGAGAGGAGGGTCAGAGGGAGAGAAAAATGCTCCCTCGGCAGTCACGAAGAACAAGAAGAGTTCACGGGGTGACGGTGACGTGATCCAGCGTACGTACCTGGGATCGCCGAAGACGCCGGCGTTCTGCGTGAGCACGTCGACGAGCGCCGACGACTTGGGGTCGGTGCTGGACGCCTTGTCGTAGATGTCCTCCAGCCCCTCGCCGGACGGCACGAAGAAGGCGCCGTTCACCATCATGTCGCCCTCCGTCCGCCAGTTCCACCCCGCCCACTGCCCCTCCGCCGTGTCCACCCGCTTCGTCACCTGCCATAGTGCCATGCCACACACACACACCCAGACATTGCACGTCACGTACCGTCGCATTCATCAACTTTCAACTCTCCCGTGCCGCTTGCTGCCCGCGCGCACGGGCGACGGGAACACTGCCAGCTGCACGCGTGACGCGCCTCGGGTGCTGCTGCTGGGGACGGGGACACTGGCAGACTGGCCGGGACCCCCGATTGGGCAATTGGGGAAAACATGATGCGAGGTGGTGTTTGTATAAAAGGATGAGGATGATGAAGATGCACCACCAAACATTCCCCACAGCCCCAGGCAACAACAACGGCCTCTTTCAATCCGGATCGAACAAACAGGTCAAAATGCTGCAAACATGCCTAGAAATGTGTCTCTCTCTCTCTCTTTTGCAATGATGAGTGTTGGTGCTGGTTTTTTTAAAGAGAAATATTGTTGGCTTGTTGGTTTTAGCCAGCTAAATCAAACAGGCGAACAGTCTGTTTGAGTTAGAAAACACAAACAAATCGACTTGGGACAGTGGTCACGATCCAAAATAAAAGAATGAAAACCAAGCCAAAAAAAACATTGGAAAGACACAGGCAGGAGAAGGCAACGCGAGGAAAGTCGTGCGTGATTGCTGCCCGTGCTCTGCGCCTCTGCCCCCCAAGCGGAGCAAAGAACAGAGCAGCGCGTAGGTAACCCAGAAGGCCAGAACGGCAACGGCCAAAGCAGCACGAGCACACGGCACGGCATGACGGCAAGAAGCCAGCAGCAGCTCTGATGGCGAGGGCGAAGGGGCATGGCATGCTCACCTCCTTGGCGTTTGGGTCGGCGGGCGCGATGTAGCGGTTGCCCTGGCTGTTGATGGTGGGGGTGGCGCTGCCGCCGATGGCGTACATCTCCCACGACGTGTAGTCGTTGTTGACGATGTGGAAGTACCCCCGGCGGCAGCGGGGCATCCGCTGCACCAGCCCGGGGCCGAAGCGGTTGAAGGCGATGGTGACCTGCATCCCGGAGTCCGGGAGGTACGCGTCGCTGGCGCCCAGCAGCATCACCTCGTCGTGGTGCGCGAAGTAGCTGTTGGACACGGTGATGGCCGTGGATCCCATGATGGCGTCCACCAGCCCGTCGGCGCACCGCCACAGCGCGCAGTGGTCCACCCACACGTCCCGGGCGCCGAACAGCGAGATGCCGTCGCCGTCCGACCGCGTGCGCCACCCGTAGTGCGTCGGCGACGACCGCACGTTGGCGTTCCCGGCGGGGACGCAGTCGTGGACGTGCACGTTGTGGATGATGACGTTGGACACGTACTGCAGCGTGATGCACGCGCCGCCGCCGCCGATGTGCACGTTGGCGCCGCGCCCGTCGATGGTCTTGTAGCTGTTCACCAGCAGCTCCTCGTTCAGGCGGATGGCCATGTCCGACGCGAACACGATCCACAGCGGGCCTTCCTGGATGGCGGCGTGGCGGAGCGTGCCCGGGACCGGGTTCACGGGGTCGCGGTCGGAGGAGTCCGTCACCACGTACACCGGCCCGCCCTTGCCGCCCAGCGCGTTGCGCCCGAACCCGATGCCGCAGTCCGCCAGGCGCTGCCGGTCCTGGCGCCAGTCCGTCCCCGCGCACCGCCAGCAGTCGTCGATTGGGTTGCCCGTCATGCACCCGCCGCCGCCGGCAGCCCCGGCCTCCTGCATCCGCCGCCGCGACGTCGCCACCTTGCTGCCGGAGATAGACGACAGGGCATCGCATTCAGCATCAGCGGAACCCACCTTTTATAAAGGCTGCAGCTTTGCAGCAGCAACGGCTTGAAAAAGACTGAATTTGGGTGAACTGTACCTGTGGAAGTCGGCGACGACGGCAGCGGGGTCGGGGAGCGACGAGTTGAGGAGAGGGAGGGCCGAGGCGGTGGCGGCGGCTGCCAGCAGGAGGAGGGAGAGGGCAATGCCGGTGGATTTGGGAGCTCGGGCCATGGTTCCTTGGCGGATTGGATGGGCCAGAGCCAAGATGCAGTGGAATTTATAGCAATGCAGGGGAGTGGCAGCGGAGTGAGGCTAGTGGGGGCATGGATTCAGGGCCCGGGACGAAGCTCCTGAGATTTGGAGCTTGGGATTGGGGCACCAATGGCAGTGGGGGCAAGTGGTTATGGGAGCAGCGAGTGTGAATGGGGAAGGGGATGAACGAACCGAGGTCTGTCTGAGGCGCAGACAGGGGAGGGGAGGGAGAAACCTGAAACCGGGGGAAGAGAGAGAAAGAGGGAGGTGGTGATTTGGAATCACCTGGGGGAGATTGCTTGCTTGCTTGTTAAAAGACGTAAAGGGTAGGGTTTGAGGATGAGAGAGTTGCGTGGGGCGGAGATGCTAGCACCAAAACGGTAGATAAATGCAAAATTGAGTGCTTCTTTGTTTCTCTACTTTTTTTTTGAATGACGCGATCCATTCCGTAGTGCGGTATAATTGTTGTTTCCGATTTCTCATGTCTTGTTGAGTGGAGCGAAGGAAAGTAATCTGGAGGTGCAAGATCTTTTCGTGCCAAAACCCAAAACCCGTTTCCCTTGCATCCACCGAGGACCAAGAATGGACGGCGCGTAAGCTACAAAATCCTTTGCTTCCGTAGATTCATTCACCGTACCAACACAAAAAAGGAGATATCCATCCATGGCTTGGGATAAGATAATCATGTTCGTTGCTTTTCTTTGGAGGCTTGGCCGAGCACTGGCGGAGCTCGACAATTTTGATGCCTAAGGCCACTGTACAAGCGTATATATATCATTCATATAGAGTCAAAATACAAGTTCTAATAACGATAGATAACGAAACTGCTCATAAATACATAAGTTTAAATATTATCATAATTCCATACTTGAATCCATAGTATAAGTGATGGAAACGTGAAAATACCTAACTAATAATGGTTTGGTTTGCCCTTGTCTCTTCATTCTGCAACTCTAAAAAAATGATATAATCAATTAATTATTGGAATTTCTACTAGATCGAAAAGAGAACATTAAAATAGCACTTAAATTTGAGAATGTGCTATTACCAAGCTTCAGTCGGTGTTCTTCGATTGCATAATTGCATTGGTGATGAACAGAGCCACAGAGAGCAGAGTCGCAGAGGCAACAACATGATACACAGACTCACAATCAGGCAGTCTGTCTTAGAGACAGAGTGAAATGACCGAGGATGCCGCCTAGAGGAGGTGAATAGGTGTTTCTAAAAATTCAATGCTTCAAAATACATAAACTATTAGTGTTGGACTTGGAAACTCTTGATCAGAGAAATAAACCACTCACGAGTTAACCAACAGAGTAAACAAGGTATATAGAGTATATCTAGAAGCTACAACCCTGCAACACAAAATTAGAGCAGTGAATAAACAAATTCAGCGCATGGGTGAAATACCGGACACGTCCGGTATGGATATTCACGTGATGGGCGCGTTAGCCCCCGAAATGCTCCTTTTGGTTCCTCCCTGCTTCCAAGCTCTAGGCACTATCTAGCAACCTGTATACAAGCTTAAGCAACACACAAGGATCTCAAATACCAAATGAAAAAGAAGATTGAGACACGGTATTTTTTTTACCGAAGTTCGGACTCCGTCCAGTCCTACTCTCTGTTGAGGGGGTTGCGAGCGACCCAACGAAGGTCAGCTTTATAGGACCACGAAGGTCACTCTAGCCGGAGTCTTTTCCAACTCCTTTTTCCTCCTTCCATTAGCTTGATTCCTTCCCTTGCGGCGGTGGAATCGAACCGGTACAAACTTTTTGAGGCACACCACAATGTCTTGGGTGCTCTCCGGCGACGCCTAGCCGTCTAGGACCGAAAAGTCCAAGAGTAACAAATGCAAATCATGAGATCAACAATATGCACAAGTGCTCAAGGGTGGCTTGCTCTCAAATTTGAATCTCACTCAACCCACAAGATGGATTTTGCAATTTTGAATCAATCACTCACTAAAAGAGGGTTGGAGAGTGTTCTCAAGGCTCAAAAACGTGGGAGAGAATTAGCAGAATCAGCAGCCTCCAAAGGTGGAGGCTAAGAGATACTTATAGCCCCTTTGAAAAACTGGTCGTTATGTAGCCATTGGCGAATACCGGACACGTTCGGTATCAATACCGGACACGTCCAGTATTAGCCGTACAGCCCCAATGGACACAATGTCAATAAAGCTACGAGGCATCGGAACTCCCAACGATTGCCGGGACTTTCGACTCCCGAAACTTTCGACTTGTGTCGGAACTCCCGACGAACCAACCCGAGAAAACCGAGAAGATCACTGTGCCTGGGCAAATACCGGACACGTCCGGTATCGACAGACTCAGCAAGATGAGTTAGTTCTTTTGGCTCTCAAAAACACTCACATGGGTTGGCTTGAGCACTTGTGAATAAATATCTATCAACATGATGCATCCCTCCTAATAGTAGGCATACCTATAAACTCAAGATCAAATAAAAACAAAATTTGAAGCGCTTGAGTTGATTTCCCTTGAACCGAAATGCCATATACTTCAATGATCATCAAGTGAGGGTGTCAATCATGTCGATCTTAATTTTCTCCTTGAGCATAGCCATCTTGAGCATGTGACTTGGTTGCATTCAATAAATATGAGTTGACTTCAAATGTATCAAGTCACTTTACACTAATACATTCAATATTTGATTCTCCACTTTAATGTGTCCATCATGATTTGATTGGTACCAACTAAATGCAAGTACTTCCTTCTTCACACTAGCTAGGTTCCTCGATCGTCAAGCCGTCACTTGCCCTTCACCCTTGCTTAGTACCTCGAAGCCTTTCCTTGCTATTTGCACCATCTCAAGCCATCAAGTCACACTTAGTGTTGAATCATCCAATTAGATCGTTTGTATAAATGTCTTTCAAAGTAGCAAGCTTTAGAATGTGAGACCATTCCATATGCAATCCCTTATGTCTCATTAATAAGTTCTTCGACGTGCTTGCTTTCACATAAGCCATAGAAATCCCATAATTGAGTAAGCCTTGCATGAACTATATTTGCATTGTTGTCTTGTGTTTGAACTAGATTGTTTCCAACAATACATCATTTTTGGCTTTCATTAAGTACCTGTGAGATAACTTATTTTCTGTCCACACTTAGCAATTGAGTTAGACCTTTAATCACGTTGTATTCAATCATCCAAAACCCACTAAAGGGCTAGATGCACTTTCAATCTCCCCCTTTTTGGTGATTGATGACAACTTGATTAAAGCTTACAAGAGGATATTAAATATTAATTTTGGGTTCAATGATTTATGAGAGGCTCCCCCTTAATATGTGCTTATGAATGGAATTCACAAAATGACCTCAAATGTTAATTGCACATATTTAAACACATAGAAGACTCCCCCTAAATCATTGCATCTGTAGGGTGCAAGTGTGTGTGACAAAATAAATCCATGATGCATATGATAGATATATCACACAAAGAATAAAAGTAAAAAGGCATCATACCACATCCATTCTAAACATGCAGGGTCCTTATAAAAATAAGTACAACACATGTATATCACACACATAGCACTCATCATAAATTTTCTCAAGTTCACAAACCACTAAGATAGATTATATTGCAAGATAAGGATCATGTCACATGAGTCTCAAAAGATACATCCATGAAGTACAAATCTCATCTCATACATGATACAACGATAAAGCACATATAATCTGTCTCAACTCAAAATGATACATCAATGAAGCTCACAAGACAAAGAAAACTACAGCTCTATAGTACATATCTCTAGGAATAAAGATAAAGCATGAAACACACGTCTAAAGCTTTAATCGGTCTCTCTCTCCCTTTGTCATCTGTCACCACAAAGGTCCTCAAAAGATCAACAAAGTAAACAAAGGGGCTGCAAGCTGTATCTAACACTTGAGATCACTCATCATCATCGTCGTCGTCCTGTTCACCATCATCCTCATCCTCAAAATGTGGAGCACCAGCTGGACGAGAACCACCCTCGCCAGAAGGGTAGTATCCACCATGCCCATAGTAGTTGTATCCACCTGTGAGGTCACCCCACCAGTCTGAAGCATACTCATCTACAACACTAGGACATGGCTGAGAGTGAGTAGGCACCTGAGCCTATAGAGGCAAGGTGTCAGGGTGCTCCGATGCCTGCTCCTGCTACTGCTGACCCTACCACTGCTCCTATCTTTAAAGAAATTGAGCAAACCCTCTATCATACCTGACCTGCATCTGCTCCGCAGTCTCTAGGTCACTAAGATCCTCATCTGAAAGCGGAGACCTAGGAGGATTAAGCACAAGATTTTGGGAAATCATCTTGAGCGTGCGAGTGTCCTTCCTCCTAGACTCTCTCTCTCTGCTGCCCGGTCTGGATGTCTCTGCACATCCCAAAGATAGCGTTGAACATCTTGTGAATAGGTGAAAGAGGGTTGCGACGGCGTGAAGAAGAACGTGGAGGAGCACATGGTGGAGGTGAGACTCCTCCTGCTGCTGCACCACCTATAGGTGCATCTGCCTCAGCTGCTGCTGCTCCCCCTAGACCAGGTGGGGGTACTCTAACCTCTATTAGTTCAGCCACTATCTTCAAATATGTGCCCTGTCTCCTGCTCAATCATGTACATAATGCATGGAGCAAAGCCACAGCCCTTGATGGACCTTTCACCAACACTCTGAATCTCACACTAGATGGAATCAAAGATACTGAAGGGCTATGCATCTGGTGTCATCCTGTGGAGAAGGTTCCTAGAGTAATATACAATAGTACCCTTGTCACCACCCTTGCAGTCAATGGACTTCCTGAACATCATGACTAGGTACCTATAGGTGGGATGAAGGCCATCCACCTTCCCAACTGTGCCACCTCTATACATGTAAGCCATCCTCTCAGGAGGTAGTACCGGCTCAGTGTGAATCCTATCTCTCTGAAGCTCCTCCTCTGAAATACCTAGATATCCTACAAAGACTGAATAGTCAACATTGTACCA